GCCTGAAAGTCATATAAAACCAGGTCTTCTTCTTCACCACCAAAATCATGTCGTTGAATTGTGTACTGGGTTGGGGCTGGATTGTGTGGGGGCTGGGTTGGGGCTGGATTGTGTACTGACTAGGGGCTATGGGGGAGGGGGCTGGGGTGGTTCCGCTGTTGCAAGAGGCGGGGTAGCCGGCGGTGGTGGTGGCTGGTCGGCCGCGAAGGAAGAGGCTGGGTCGGCGGCTAAGGAGAGATCGACGGCGAAGGGTAACTGGCCGGCGAGAACAGACCGGCGAAGGGTGGGGTGAGGGACTGGGAACAGGTCGACGGCAAAGGGTAAGGTAACTGGCCGGCGGCGACCTGCGAACGGGTCGTAGAGGAAAGAAAAAAGAAAAAAAAGAAGGAAAAAAGGTTAAAAAAAAGCTTAAATAAGGAGGCAACAAAGGAGGCAGGGGTGGGTGGACTGTAGCACGGTCCTTGTTAATTAACTAGTAGAGACTTGTTTTTTTCTTTTGACTTTAGTTGAATATTTTGTTTTTTACTTTTCCTCAACACGGAAGGAGCTATTTCGCCTGCTTTGAGCATCAGCGGTGGAGGATGGAGCCTGATATCACAATCAGAAGAGAATAAAAATAAATAAGATTTGCTGGTTGGCTTTGAATTTGTGCATGAAGCTTTAATAAATGGTTCCTAACCAATTATTGTTATTTGTAGCTAGTTTGATACTCCCATCCTTGGTTGAAAATTTAATGATTTTAGGTTGTGTTCACTTCAACTTTTTTTTATATATTTATTTATTACTCCCTCCATCATATATCGATCTCCCCACTTTGATTAAAACTCATTTTTAAGGGATTGAATTATTTTACTTTGACTTGTAACTTTGCCTTTGCTTATAAAAGTTTAAAAAAACTAAAGCAAAAAAAAAAATAAAAAATCAGAGTAGATATTTTGGCATACAGGATACAGCAAAACCACTTAATGGGTTTGAATCATGTCAAACTACACAGAGTAGGGAAAGTTCTAAACATTTTCCTCTAAACAAAAACAAAAACTCCACCAAGACCTACTCTATAAATTACACAATCCCTTCTAAATTTAAAAACTCTACCCCACGACGATAATCTCTGCTGTTCTGTCCTTTCTTCGTTCTCGTATCGGTTCTAAAAAATGGAGTAATTCCCACCCTAGTTAAGGCCATGAGACTGAAGAGTACACATTATGTAGAAGAAATATCACTACTGCCTTTATTCTCTTCATACTTTCATTTAGAATCTCGAAGTGGTCACGTAACTTTGCTAATTTCTGCACAAAAGTAAGATGAAAAGTCTTTGAAAGTCACTCATGATTTCTTTTCATTTTTAATTAAAATTACTGATGGTGTAAATTACCTAACCGGGTAAACTATTCTAGACCGGGTCTAGAATTGTTTACTTGATTCGGAAAGTAAAAAGGTAAAAACACGCAAATATGACCGGGAAGACTTTAGGTCGAAACACCTGTAGCCCAATTACTATTATAACAGAGAATGCACGGGAGCTTTTATAAGGGAGTTTAGAGAGAATGAATTCGGATCCCTCCTTCTGAGGATTACAGCAGTATTTATACTAAGTTTGAGGGGGACAGGACGTCGTGCACCCACGTGGAGGCACGTTCTCGGATGGTGGGAGGTGATGGCCTTCGTCCTTTAGCCGCCTTGTCGCCTAGTGAGGAAGCTTACTCCCTTTGTCATGTTACACCTTGGATGGATTCCTTTGTTCGAGTATCTCCAGCGATCCTCCACAGATCTCAGTCGCTACGGTCCAATCTCTTTTGGATTCTTCTCTGCCGACACTTTCCAACCCTGGAAACCACACCGGGTAATTTCTGAGGGATAAGTTTATCGAAAGTAGGGGCTGAACCAGGCGATAAAGTAGTTTGACCGGTATACTATCGTTAAGTGTACCGGTCAAAGGTTTGGTCAACCGAGCCTCCTTTTATTGACGATTAAGGCTTCCCTTTCCAGTTCGATCCAATTGACCGGTCAACTATTTAGTCCTCCCTTTTGACCGGTTCTAGGTGGAATACACCCATCAATTAGCCCTGCACTTCGCGGTCATGCGATTTGTCATGAGCAGGAAGTAAAAATCTGAAATAGGGTGTTAATTTGAATTTTAGGCTTTTCCCGCCTTAAAATTTCAAAATTCGAATTTTGAATACTAAGGAATTCGCCACGTGTCGAATACCAGCCGCTGCAACGGTTAGCTGTCAACCCGTCCTTTTGCCTGCTCCCGTATCATCATTGCGCCGCCTGACGCGGCACGATCTCAAGAAGCCACATCGCCTATTTCGGCTTCCCTCCTCCTGTATAAGGACCTCCAACCTCCTTCACTTCTCACTTTTCGCACCTTGAGTTCCTGAACTTTCACCGGTCAAGTTTCTTTCTTTCGCCTTCCAGCCCTCCGAGTCAAGTAAGCTTCCCTCCTTTTCTTTAATTACATTCCCGATCATGTCTTCCTGAGGTAGCGATAGGATTTCATGCTCAGATGACTCCTCATCTCGGGACTCTACCTATTCTTCTTCGACCGGGTACTATTCCTCTTATTCCGTACCTGGTCATGTTCCCAACTCGTCTGTCCCCGAGCTGGAGCCGGTAAACCAAGTGCCCGGTCAGGTTTTTGCGGAGAGGGACGAACCGGTTGATAACGAACCAGGTCCCTATGACCCTGACACTGAGTCCTCGGAGGAGTGGGAAGAGCGGCTTCGCACTGCCAGTTACTTCCCACTCCCCACCTATTACGTTTTGACATTTCCTCCCATGTATCCAAAATCGCCCTTAATAAGGTTCGTAGAAGGCTCCCGGATGGGTACATCCTTCAGTACGAACATGACTGGCCCAATATAGTTGAACCCCACCGGGAGAATAGGATAGGTTTCCACGTTGTCTCTCTGGATGGGGGCATCGTTTTTCCCCTTCGCCCCCTCCTAACCGAAATCTGTCATGCGTTTCGGATTTTGCCCGGTCAGTTAACTCCTAACGCCCACCGCTACGTGCACTCCTTTGTAAATATTTGTTCCCACCTCAAAATCGAGCCTTCCTTGCGTCTTTTCCTTTTTGTTTTGAAGTCCTACCGGGTGGGACCGGTTGTGAAGGCTTTGTGTACATCAAAGGTCGCACCGGTAGGAAATTTATTTTCGACGTCCCCCAAAGTAACCGGGGATGGAAGGAAAAATTTGCTTTTATTCAATTCCCCCCATTCGTCACACCCTTGGCCGGTCTAAAATGGAACGACCATCTCCTCGATCATGAGTATACCGTGCCAGCCTCCTCCCCTTACCTTGAAGCAAACCTGGAAATCCTCCTCCGTGGTGATCCGTTTACCGGGAGAAAATTGCACTCCGGGAGTTGGGTGTGGAGGATCCAACCGGGAGGTGAGGGTACCTCCCTGGCCCATGAAGCAGCGGGGCATGGGGTACCCTCCCCGGGCAACACTATAGAGGCTGAGGGCCAAAACCACCCAGGTATTTCTCATCCATCTTGTGATTTTTGGTTTGACCGGTGTGGTTTCCCATACTTGTTGGAACACACTTTGTACGTTTAACTAAAGTCGTGTTCATTTCTGACAGGTTTTGATAATTGCCAAACCGCCGTGGATATGAAGAGTTTCGTTGAATAACTCAAGGCGTGAAGAAAGGCATGGAACAAGACCAAAAAGACTCAAGGACAAGATCAAGAATCGAAGACGTAGTCGAGTCGGTCTTTTGTGATCAAAGCCGACAATCAATTCAAGTCTCGGTTCTCAAAGAGTCAAAATAATTTTACAAAATCATAAAACGTTTTTTTGTGCATCAAATAAACATTTTTGAAAGCTTCATTGTATTAAAATCCCTGGTCCTTGCTCAGAACCAAAACTACCTAGGTCGGTGTTCGGCATCGGCGTACGGCATTCAGGCTTCGGCACGCGGTTTTTGGCGCCCGAACCAACTCGGTGGTTTTCAATGTTTTAAACCTCGTTTTTATCTCTGAGCATATTTAAAAGGTTCCCAAATGATTATTTTATAAAAACCACTTTTATATCTTGGTCAATCAGTCCAACACGTGCAAAAACGGTCAAAACCGTACGCACGTGATTTACGACCTTGAAAACTTGGTTTTTACCAAAGAAGTTTTGTTTTCACTATTTTATACCATATACAATGGTTTTCAAACCTGGTTTTTACTTTTGGGAACACTTCGTTTTTGGGCCTCGGTTTTTCCAGACGGGTTTCAGCTGGCTAGACTTTAGCTGGGTGATAATCGGTTATCACCTTAGTGACAATCGACTATCAGCCTCTGTATCTTTTGAACTTAAAGTTCTGAAGCACGCAATAATCGATTGTCACTTTTGCAACAATCGATTATCACACTCTGCAGCCAAAACCCAGGAACTGTTGAGAGGACCAATAGTCGATTATCACTTTTTGACAATCGATTATCTGGGTTACCGTTGTCCTCCAACGGATAGAATTTTAATTTTTTGGACAGGGAATCTTTGGATAATCGATTATCAAGCTTTGACAATCGACTATCACCCTGTGTCTCTGAAAAATTTGTCTTCATCCTGTTGGAAATTTTAGCAACGGATTTATCCCATTTTGGGCTATAAAATGGCACCCAAATCCTCTCATTTTACACACAATTCTTCAACATTTCAATACTCCTTCATTGCATAAGCATTCCTATTTTTTCTTAGCTATTTGAGAGCCAATTCTTGAAGAAATTGTCGTGTTCTTGAGCGTTTACTAGTTCACTCATATCTACTCTTTGTGAGAGTTTTATTCCTGAGTGTTTAAGTGTTTCTACACACTTTAAGGGAGGTTGTTCCCTTGTTGTAAACTTGAAGGAAGTCTTTCGTTCCTTCGTGAGAAGTCTTGGAGTGTGGTATCCCCGAGCAAAGGCGTTGAGGCTCGTGTGACTCGAGTTCTCAAGTTGTATCAGTTTGTTGAGCACCTTTAAGCTTAACGGAGTTAGTGTAACTTGATAGAGTCTCTCGAAAGGCTGGATTAGCCACATGTTGTGGTGAACCAGGATAAAATTCGGTGTGCTCCCAAGATCCTCCCTCCAAAACATTCCCGGTCAATCAAGAGACCGTGGAAATTTTAGATGCGGATGAGCCTCAAGACACCCGGTTTAAGGGCAAAGAGAAGACCGGCCGCCGGACCAAGAAGGCGGCCACCAACCATCCTTCTGCCATGAACAAGGGGCAGAAGACAGACTTTGGTGTGGCCCACCAGACCGTGGAGGAGGCCTACATCAACCTCGGTCTGCGCCTGAGGGAGGCAAGTCTTATACCTCGCTTGGTTTATCTCTATCTTATATATTGCATCACGATTGACCGGCTTGTTGTATGTTGCGCAGGTTGGGGAAATCGGGCCTATCACCGCCGACCGGTTGGGAATGGATTCTCCAACCGAAGTGGCCCGGCTGAAGAAGAAGAATGAGGAGATGGCCCTCATTCTTAAAAGCCAATTGGATGAGCTGGCCAGGTTGTCCAAGATGGCCGGGTCAATGAAGACGGAGATTTCCCAACTGAAGGAGGAGAACTGCCGGTTATTGGATGAGATCTCTGGGGTGAAGCAGGAGATGGCCCAGAAGGAAGAAGACTTCCTCGGTCTTACAGGCGCCTGGGTTAAAGAAAACAAGGCCGAAGCCGCCCGGGTGATGACGGCGGGCCCGGAAGCAACCATGGAATCCTTCAGGCTTCTATACCAGGAGCCTGAAGGAAAGAAGTTGATTACCGCCATTGGGTCTTTGGATTCAAGTGTGGTCAGAAGAAAGACCGGGCTGCCTCTCACCGGATCATGAAGAAAAGGGACCCAGACTTTAGTGCAGCTGCTTACGGCTTGGCCCCAATTCCGGAGGAAGAGCCTACTCCCCCCTTCCCTCTAGATTAGGATCTCCCCGGTACCGACTGGTTGTTTTGTAAACTTGAAACATTCTCAATTTCCCTGGGTATACCCGGTGTATCTGTAAACATTTAACATTCCTATCTCATTTGAAATCCATGTTTACTTTGCTACCCGGTCATAGTTTATAATGCTTTTTGTTTGATATCCACTTTTTTGAATGCTTTTCGGCCCGGTCATAGCAATCATTTCTCTGAATCTTGAATCTAATTAACTTCTGCCGGTAGAACTTCAACGTTTGCTATTGGATATCTCCCTTTTGATCAATTCGAGTAACTTCAGTTTAACCGGTAAGTCCCCTCCTCATGGTCTGGCCGGTTAACTAAGTTGCCTTGACGAACTTTCGAAGTCCTGCTATATTAATACCCAACCGGGGTATTCCTTTTTTTACCGGTAGGTTGTAGATGGAAGCACCTGTAACCTAATAATTTCTTGAAGTATCCTTAACCGGTAAGAATACTAGAGATTTAACCATGTCGAATGGTTTTGAACCCTCTCTAAGGTTCAAATGCGCCCGTCTTCCAGGGCCCCCTCTTCCGGGTGTTTAAGTCTTTTAATGGCCCTTTGATATCTAGTATCCCGGGAAGGCCTTAGCTCACCCCCCGTTCAAGTCTTCCCTGAGAAGGGGGAATCTGAACCGGTCGGAGTAGGATGCGTCATGGTGAACGATCCCTTTCTATTTCTTTTGATGGGAATCTTTTAGTCCTCAATCAGTTTGACAATTTCAGCTGATTCCCCGACACCGGTCAAACCTCATGGGCCCGTGTAAGTACGGTTCGAACCTTCTTCCAGGTCCAGCCTTCTTGCAGGCATACCCTTCTTCCGGGGCCCCTCTTTCGGGTTTATATATATTTTTATTTTATACTGAGCAAGACCAGTGTAGTAACCAGCGTGCTAGGTCTGGGCCTGTGTCTCAGTTGGCTGATCCAAGTGGATTCGATCCACCCGGGAAGCCGTCCTAGGATAGGTTCGACCTATCGCTTCCTCTGCTACTAGGTAGAGTATTGAACTTCATCAATTCGATTGATAATAGAATTAGGCCTCGCCTAGTATTACAATCATTTGTAGAATTTTCTCAGATGGTGAGAATTCCATGTTCTTTCTACCGGTATTCCACCTAGAGTTTCTAACCGGTAGGTTCCCGGGCGAATAATAGCTCTCACCCGGTAAGGTCCTTCCTAATTTTTCGACAGCTTTCCTCCATATCCCGGCTTACTAGCCTCTCTTCTTCGCAAGACTTCATGACCAACTTGGAAGTATCGCGGCCCAACCTTGTTGTCGTGGTACTTCTTCACAACTTGTTGGTACGTACTCATTTTTACTTCCGCAGCCATCCTTCGTTCCTCGACCAAGTTGAGTTCGGCTAAATGGTCTTCTTCGTTTTGCTGGGATTGGTAATTTGATTCCCGGAATGTTGGGAACTCGGCCTCGATGGGTAGCCTTGCTTCACATCCGTAAGTCAGGGAGAAAGTAGTTTCCCCATGAGCACTCCTAGGTGTCACCCGAAATGCCCATATGATATGTGGGAGTTCTTCCAACCACTTATTTCCTGCTTCCCCCAGACGTTTCTTCAAACCATCCACAATCGTTCAGTTGGCGTTTTCAACTTAGCCATTGCCTTGGGGATATGCCACCGAAGAGCGATTGTGTTTTATTCTGAAGCGCTCCAAGTATTCAGTAAACCTTGGATTTTTGAATTGCGGGCGGTTGTCGGTGATGAGATTCATGGGAGCTCTGAATCTCATGATGATGTTCTTCCAAATGAACTTCTTGCACTGTTGCGTGGTGATGTTGGCCAACGCTTCGACTTCGATCCATTTGGTGAAGTAGTCGATGGCCACGATTACAAATTTCTTCCTTCCTTGAGCAATTGGGAATGCTCTAATGATATCAACCCCGAATCTAGCAAATGGGATGACATTCGATACGGGGTGATAATAGGTTGTTGGTCTACCAGGGTATTTGTAGAACACTTGGCACGTTCGGCATTTTTGAACGTACCTTTCACAATCCTGGACGATCGTTGGCCAGTAATACCCCAACAAGATGATGCGCTAGGAGAGGGTACGGGACATTTGATGTGCCGCGCATACACCTTCATGGACTTCTGCTATGACTCGCTCCGCCTCCCGGTTGGTCAGGCATCTCAGGAGTGGTCCCCCGAATGCCCTTTTGTACAGCATTCCTTCAATGATTTGGAACCGGGGTGCCCTGAGCTTCACTTTTCTTGCCCGGTCATCTTGGTCTGGCAGGCTTCCATCCGTCTAATATTTCATAAGGTCGCTCATCCAATGGTCATCTGCCCCGACCGTGTTTGACCGGTGAGATTGGCCTGCTGCTGCTATAGTGGCGACTTCCAGTTTCTCTATGCTGGCACGATCAAGGATCTCCACCCGGGCAAGTTTTGAAACATGCTCAGGGGCATACCGCGTCAATTTGGAGAGAAGTTCTACATCCACGTTTTCCGCCCGGGGAATTTGGGCGATCTTGAATTCTTCGAAGCCCTTCAACAAGGCAAGAACTAGGTCCTTGTATTGCTTCCATATTACCGGTCACCTGCCCAACAATCAGGCTAGAGTCAGATTTGATACTAACGCTGCTGATTTTGAGAGCTTGAGCGAGTCTGAGCCCTCCAGCTAGAGCTTCATATTCCGCCTCGTTATTTGTTAATTTGAAGTTGAAGACGAGTGCATGGTAGATCTTGAAGCCTTCTCGGGTGGTAAACAATATTCCACCCCTGTACCCTTTAGGACCATATGCTCCATCTACTGCCATCTCCCACCATTGTTCAGTGGGTTTGTTGACCGGTAGGTCTGGAGTTAGACCGGTCATTTCTACCAGAAAATCTGCAAGGGCTTGTCCCTTGATTGCTGATCTTGGCCGGTACCCAATGTTGAATTGAGTTAACATCATTGCCCCCTTCACCATCCTCCCAGAGGATGTTGAATTTTGTAATACTGCTCCCAACGGTTGGTCAGTCAAGACTTCCACCGGGTGAGCTTGGAAGTAGGATGTTAACTTTTTTGCAGAGATGAAAAGTGCGTAGGCTGTTTTTTCTATCGTCGTATATCTACTTTCTGCTCCGTTTAGTGCTTTGCTCACATAATAAATGGGCTTTTGTGCCCCATCATCTCTTATTAAAATGGAGCTTACAGCATTTGGGGAAATCCCTAGGTACAGATACAAAGTTTCACCTTGTTCAGGTTTTGACAATACAATATCTGACACTAGGTACTCCTTCAGCTCCTCAAATGCCTTCTGGCAGTCTTCGTCCCATGCAAACGTGTTGGCCTTCTTCAGGACATTGAAGAAGGGCAGGGATCTCTCAGCTGACCGGGAAAGAAACCAGCTGAGGGCCGCCAGACAGCCAGTCAACTTTTGAACATCCCTAACAGAGGTAGGGGCTTGCATTTCGGTGATAGCCCGGATTTTTTCTGGGTTGGGCTCTATTCCTCTCTTGGTAGCCATGAATCCCAAGAACTTCCTGGTGCGAACCGTGAAGACGCATTTCTTAGGATTCAACCGGAGGTTGTATCTTGACATGATATCAAATGTTGCACACATGTCAGTCGGGTGGTTGAGAGATACCTGGCTAGGTACCTCTTCTTCTAGCCTACCGGTCAACTTCCATCCCATACTGCCAGCCGGTGGCACATGATTGAGCGGTCAATCCCAGGCATATCCGCCACGCTCCATGCAAATATGCCTAAGTACTCTTGGAGGACCCGTGTATTCTCCGCCTTGAGATCTTCTAGGAGATTTGCTCCAATCCTGACCATCCTCGAAGAATCACCCGAGCGGAGCTCGATTTCCACCGTTTTAGCTTCAGGTTCCATTTTCTCCCGGGTCTCTCCCTTTGTGATTTCTTGGGAGATGACGTTTACCCCCTTAGTCATCTTCTTCACTGCTCGGGCATAGCATTCTCGGGCGTTCCTCTGGTCGCCTTTCACCCCTCCCACACCACCTGGGGTGTGGAATTTCATGCACATGTGAGGCATAGAAATCACCGCCTAGACTTTGTTGATGCCTGGTCTTCCAAGGATTGCGTTATGGACGCACTTGATGTCCACAATGATGAACCGCATCTTCTTCCACACGGTTTTGTCCCCCGACTCGAGTTCGACCGGTAGGACTATGGGTCCTTCCGCTTCCATGGTGTCTCCCGTGAAGCCTGAGAGAGGAGTCTTGAGGGGCTCGAGTTGTGTCCGACACAACCTGAGTTTTTGGAATATCTCCAAGTACAAAATGTTGACACTGCTGCCGGTGTCAACTAGTACCCGGGCAACATCCACCACGTTAATGTCCATGGTGATAACCAAAGGATCATTATGATCTTCACCGGTAGCTGGAAGGTCCCGGTCGGTGGAGACGATCGGTTCCCTTCTCCTTTGCTTTCGCCTGACCGGGTCAGCACTTACTTCTCCAACGTAAATGCTGCAGACCCAGTTCTTTCGTTGCGCGACTGAATCTCCACCTTCAGGTCCGCCAAATATCATGCCAATGTGTTCTTTATCAAGAGCAGGCTGCTGCTCCCTTTTCCGGTTGTTCCTCCGCTGGTCATTGTCCCGGTCATTCCCCTGGGCTGCTGGCCTGATCCACTGGTGGCTCTTCTCTTGGGCTTTTTGCATATAGTCTTCGCCCAGTTCTCCGCTGTCTATCATTTTCCGGATGACTCCCTTAACACTCTTGCACTCGGAAGTGTTATGGGAATCTGACCTATGGAACGAACAATACGTGCCCGACCATTGTCGTCCTGTTTGACCGGTAGGATTTTCTAGAGGATTGACCAGTGCTTTCCTTACCGCCTGGCACTCTTCTGTATTGACCACGCGGACAACCGTGTCATAGTGATGCCTTGGCCGGATAGATCCCGGTGCCTCTTCCTTCTTGATTTGCACAGGCTTTGGCTTGAAGCCATGCTCAGCTTCTTTCTTTGCCCGGAGCTGGGTCTCTGCCTCCGCGAATTCCCATGCCGTATGGTAGGCTTCCTAATACGTAGCCGGGGGTTTCCGGTAGAACTCCTTGCATAGTTCCCCAGCACGTAAGCTATTCAGAAGGAGGGAAAAGACCGTCTTGTCGTCCATCTCTTCTACCTTGTCTACCTCTTCCTTCCACTGGGTAAGGAACTGAGTGAGGTTCTCAGATTCCCTCTGCCCGGTTGTACTAAGATAGGTGAATTTGTTCCTCTTAGTACAATTTTCCTGGAACTTGGCCTTGAATTTTGAGGCCAAATCGCTGAATGAATCAATACTTCCTGGGCGAAGCTTGTTGAATCATTCAGTAGCTCGATTCCGCAAGGTTTGGAAGAAAAGGAGGCACTTTTCTTCGTCTGTGCAACCGTTCATGGTTGCACTCTGGTTGAAGAAATCCAGGTGGATCTCTGGGTCTTCCTTCCCGGTGAACCTCGGGGTGTCTATCTTGACCTTACGTGGGAAACGTGTCAGATGGACCCTTGTTGTGAATGGGGACCCGGCGAGGGGTTTATCCCGGTCATTCTTCTCCCCTGCTTTCTTCTCCAACCTCTCTAGTTTCGCCTCCATCTGTTGGACGCGATCATTCGGGATGGTTAGACGGTTAGCCACCGGCCCACGGGGTTGGCTTTCTGCTTCTTCTTCCTGGCATGAAGTCCTTGTTCTTGGAGGCTCTTGCCAGTTCGACCGGGAGCGCTAGGAATCGGCAGGCTCGGCCTCCCTTCCCTCGCCTAACCGGGCGAACGCGCTAACATGGGCAACGCTCTGCCCCAATCTTAACTTGGCTGACTTCCTCTGACCTTCTTCCCTGTCCCCCAACCTTTGGAAGGCAGAGTTCCGGGAAGTTTCCGCCCTGAGGGCCTTTCCCTTCTTCCTTTTGTGGGCTCTAGGGACGTCCCACTCTTCATCACCACTCTCCACAAAGATGCAATGACCCTCTGGAGTTGTCTGGGGATGGGCGTTATGTGGAGGGCATGACGGACCGGTGGCGTTAAGTGCACCAGTCAAATTGACGGGGGCCACAACGCTAACCAACTGCGGCTGGAAAGGCGATGGCTGTGGTACCGGCGTCTAGAAGGGAGACGCCGCCATCGGAGTTTGCAGAGGCATTGTTCCAGCGCCTGGGAGGGCAAATGGAAAGATGCCTGTGAGGAATGGCATCCCCCATTCTGATGACACATGGCCATGACCTGGCCAAACCCTTGGATGACCTGTAGATTGGCTGGGTCATTCATGAACCGGGTCATGCTTGGTGGGAACTTGACCCTCGGTCCAGCAGAAGGGACAGGGATCGTGAACGGGCTGACCACGCTGGGTGTTGGGATTGAACTCAGACCCAACGGCAACACGGGAGCAGAAACAGCCGGTTGGGTCGCAACCATGGGGATGCTGACCCCCTCAGTGGTGGCTTGCACCTAAGCAGAGGTAGCGTTGATTTGCTGGCTTGAAGACATTTTGAGTGGTGTTTTTGTGGGTAGGTTTGTGTTTAGATGAAAAGAAACCTTAACGGTCCCACGGGTGGCGTCAAAAATGATGGTGTAAATTACCTAACCGGGTAAACTATTCTAGACCGGGTCTAGGATTGTTTACTTGATTCGGAAAGTAAAAAGGTAAAAACACGCAAATATGACCGGGAAGACTTTAGGTGGAAACACCTGTAGCCGAATTAATATTATAACAGAGAATGCACGGGAGCTTTTACAAGGGAGTTTAGAGAGAATGAATTCGGATCCCTCCTTCTGAGGATTACAACAGTATTTATACTAAGTTTGAGGGGGACAGGACTTTGTGCACCCACGTGGAGGCATGTTCTCGGATGGTGGGAGGTGATGGCCTTCGTCCTTTAGCCGCCTTGTCGCCTAGTGAGGAAGCTTACTCCCTTCGTCATGTAACACCTTGGATGGATTCCTTTGTTCGAGTATCTCCAGCAATCCTCCACAGATCTCGGTCGCTACGGTCTAATCTCTTTTAGATTCTTCTCTGCCGACACTTTCCAACCATGGAAACCATACTGGGTAATTTCTAAGGGATAAGTTTATCGAAAGTAGGGGCTGAACCAGGCGATAAAGTAGTTTGAACGGTATACTATCGTTAAGTGTACCGGTCAAAAGTTTGGTCAACCGAGCCTCCTTTTATTGACAATTAAGGCTTCCCTTTCCAGTTCGATCCACTTGACCGGTCAACTATTTAGTCCTCCCTTTTGACCGGTCCTGGGGGGAGTACACCCATCAATTACCAAGCCTAAAAATTAAAAATATTAATTAAGTGAAGATTATTAGCTTCTTCAGTTGTTTTCTTTCTTTCAATAGGCATCGACTAATCATTTCTTAGTGGGTAGATTTCTTATATTCTATGATTCATGGAAATTTTCTAGACTTAGCAAACTTTTAAAAAGATTAATGATAGACTTGAAGAGGTTGATGTGAACTTATAGAAAGATTTTTTTATAGAGAGTAATTAAGTAGTTCAAATAAATAATATGGAGAAGAATAAACATACCACGACACAGAGCCAATAAACCCAAAACTATCTATGTAACCCCTGAAAATAGGCTTATCAGTGGGCCCTAAGATATTATACTTCATCAAAGAAGGGATAAATTCTATCTACGTCATTCACATCCTTACTTATGTTTCATTGCATACCCAAAACATAATTGTACATCCACCAATATTTCAGATGACATAAACTATGCCTCAAAGTATACAACTCAACTTACCAAAGAATGTAATGACTTCAAGTCGAAGGATAGTTATACTAATGGTCGCATGAGAATAATATTAACACTTTAACTTAAACCCATATATTATTCTCATAGCGGGTCAATCCAGCAACATATCCAATATGTTTTCCTACGCATAGATTCAGATAACACTTTATCTATAGCCTATGAGACGCAGCTATCTCATGTCATACGTATTAGTCTTGATATATTATGATGTCTGTATTGTCATAATATTCGACTAAGGATATTTTAGACGTGGCCTCTATCTTTGTAACAGCCTCATAATTAGAACGTCGTTGTTCTCATCTATGTTACTAGAGCACCTACTCTATGGACTAAAGCTATGTTTTAATCATACGAGACGACTTAAACAATTTTTAGGGCCTATTGTTCTTGATATAATATAGATATGGAATCATAAGTTGGCCTCTAGGGCTCACTTATATTCAACAAGAACACCTAGAAAATATGAGTTTCAAAGTATGCATAAACCATGTTTTTTACAAAATAGGAAAAACATCTATTCTCGACCGTAAGAACGTGTGTTTGATGAACACAATCAAGGATTCTACACAATGGCTAGAATATTAAAATGAAGAACAAAACTTAGCCGGTGTAGAAGGAAATTATACTCTCTCAAAAATACAATATAAACTTATGAATATGAGAGTATAACTAGAAAAGACAAGCTCAAAGTGTGTGTATAAAAATCAAGAGATTAAGGCTTTCAAAATAGCCAAAATATGAAGATTTGAGAATAAAAGTATAAACACACTTGAAATATTAAAGTAGGATATTTGCAGCTTTGTTTCTTGAAGAAATATTAAAGTAGGATATTTGGATCTTTGTTTCTTGAAGGATTAGGCTTGTATTTATAGTGGAAAATGTTAATTAGACGTTGGGAGGTGATTAGGGTTGATATAATTCAAAATCAAAAATCAGGAATAGTAACCCAACGGTAACGGTAGGCCGGTACCGTCCTCACGGTAGCATGGTACCGTGCGTACGGTAGGGGGTACCGTGAGTGGCAGTACCTTGATACCGTGTAGCACAAAAACTTAATCCGGCTCTAGCGATACCTGGTGTCTAACGGTACTGGGGTACCGTGTTGGCGATATACCCTACCATTTAGGCGGTATAGGGTACTGCTTGGGGTACCGGGTCTCTGTTCTGATTTTTCAAAATTCCCTTAATCCTTCGTGTTTGAGTTTAAAACCTTTTAGATATTTGAAAATTTTTATGGGATGGTTTTAAACATATTTTGTGAGTGCTTTTGAGCTTGTGAATATAGGTATATAAAGTCATATCCTTACTTTGGTTTCTACCTATATTTTGCGCTAGTTTAGTGTTTCGACTTCATTCTTGAGAACTGAATCTTAATGGATTCTTGTTGTACCTGAAACACTTAAACAAATGTTTAGCTCTTATATTGTTTGTTAACATCAAAACACGAGGTTTAGCAAACCAAGGCTAACAATCAGGACTTCTCAAACCCCCGTACACCACAACAAATGTAGTGGTGGAACGTAGAAAGATGTCTCGAAGAGATGGCTGGAACTATGACTAATGAGGCAAAAATCCCTAAGTTTTTTTGGGCGGATGCCGTGAGTACCGCGAGCTATGTTTTAAATCAATCTGTCATTTTAACCAATACTCATGAAAATGCCTTATGAACTATACAAAGAGCGAAAGCCAAATCTTTCCCATCTTTGAGTATTTGGTTGCAAACGTTTTATTCATAACAATGGAAAAGATAACTTAGGCAAATTTGATGCGAAATCAAACAAAATAATTTTTCTTGGCTATTCATTACGTAGCACGGCCTATGGGGTCTTTAATAAACGTACATTGACCGTTGAGGAGTCCCCTCATGTCGTGTTCTCCGAGGATAATACTCGCTTGGTGAGAAAGGATGTTTGTGATGATGTTGCTGATTCACTTGAAAGAATACACATCCAAGACGATGAAGAAGAAGAAGAAATAAACACCAACAGACAGTCACAAACTGGAGAGACAACTCGAGTAACTCCCCAAGGTGAGGAAGAACAAGAGGAAGAAGAAGAGCAAGAGGAAGAATAGGAACAAGAAGAAGAAGAGACCGAGCTTACCATTGCATGGAAAACAAAAAAAAAATACCCTCTTGATCAGGAAATCAACAACATCAACCGAGGGGTAAGTACTCAAAACTCTCTAAGGGACACCGTAGGACATATTGCATTCGTTTATCAAATTGAACCTTCAACTTAACCATTTCCGAAGCAATAAACGATGAACATTGGACCTTGGCTATGCAAGAGGAGCTAAACCAATTCAAACGGAATGACATTTGGGAATTCGTGCCAAGGCCTGATGATCTTACGATTATTGGTACGAAATGGGTGTTCTGTAACAAACTAGATGAAAACGGAATAATCATTAGAAACAAAGCTAGGATTGTAGCTAAAGGCTACAATCAAGAAGAAGGTATTGATTTTGAAGAAACTTATGCACCCGTAGCACGCTTAGAAGCTATACGTTTACTTCTCGCTTTTGCCTCGTCTATGGATTTTAAACTCTATGAAATGGAACTTAAGAGTGCCTTCCTTAATGGTTTCATTCAAGATAAATTGTACGTCGATCAGTCCCCGGGGTTTGAAGACTTTGAATATCCCGATCATGTCTTAAACAAGCACCTCGTGTCTTGTATGAACATTTGAGTAAATTTCTTTTGGACAGTGGTTTCCAAAGGGGAAGGGTCGATACTACACTTTTTATCAAGAGTAAAAAAAATAACATCATTTTGGTTTAAGTTTATGTAGACAATATTATTTTTTGTGCTACTAACGCGTCTTTGTGCAAGGAATTTTCCAAGCTAATGACCAGTGAGTTTGAGATGTCAATGATGGGCGAGCTCACATTCTTTTTGGGACTTCAAGTAAAGCAAATGAGAGATGGAACTTTCATTTTCCAAACTAAGTATTGCAAGGAGCTACTAAAACGGTTTGAAATGGACAACGCCAAAGCCATGTCAACTCCTATGAGCACATCTGACCATCTTGACAAAGACGAGAAAGGTAAGGAAGTAGTTGTCAAAAAGTATTGAGGTATGATCAGATCCCTTCTTTTTTTACTGTTAGTAGGCCGGATATTATGTTTAGTGTATGCCTTTGTGCAAGATATCAATCATGTTCAAAGGAATCAAACTTAACGGCAGTAAAACGGATCATGAAATATCATGTTGGAACGGATAACGTTGGACTATGGTATCCCAAAGGCTCCTCGTGTCATCTCGTTGGATACTCTGACTCAGACTTTTCCAGTTGCAAGTTGGACCGTAAGAGTACGAGTGGGACATGTCATTTACTTGGTAGTTCTTTAGTCTCATGGTTTAGTAAAAAAACAAGTCACTGTTGCGTTATCCACAACCAAAGCGGAATACTTTGCCACCAGGAGTTGTTGTGCTCAAATCCTTTGGATGAAGCAACAACTAGTGGACTATGGCCTTAGTATCAATCGTGTTCCTCTTCGATGTGATAATACTAGTGCCATAAGCTTGAGAAAGAACCCCATTCTTCACTCAATGACGACACATATTGACATTAGGCATCATTTCATAAGAGATCATGTTCTCAAAGGTGATGTCAAAATTGCATTGAGTTTGTTGAAACAAACAACCAATTAGCCGACATTTTCACAAAACATTTAAAGAAATAGTCGTTCTTCCGCATTCGAAGCGAACTCAGAATTCTTGACTCCACGATGATCTATATTGTATATTTTATCTTGTTAAACATGTACCAACTTGAGCATCGGAGAATTTTTGTCTTTTTTGCAGGTACCCCACTCATCAAGTACAAAAATCAGGGGGAACCATGTCAACATCGATGTCAACCATGCAACATCGCTGTCTGAACAGCGCTGTTTGAACAGCCAACAACATTGTTATTGCACAAAACACCGTCAAACAGCAATGGTCCAACAGCGATGTTACAAACTTCAACATCGCTGTAACAGGAAGTCCTTTCCTTTCATTCACTTCCAAAAACTTTTTCAACAGCGTTGTTGAGATTCCAACATCGATGTTACAGGGAGTAGTCTCTTTTCATTCAAATCAAGTAACTTCCTTAACAACGTTATCTAATATGCAACATTGTTGTTCTGTTTTACAACCTAAATACGATTTCCCCTTGGGTGTATATATATCGAGGTCATTAGACACAGATTATAACCACCAATCTTACGTCTCCCCTCTGCCTCTTCCTTATCGATTTCCCCAAACATATTCATTTACGTCCAGTTCGATCCACTTGACCGGTCAACTATTTAGTCCTCCCTTTTGACCGGTCCTGGGTGGAATACACCCATCAATTAGCCCTGCACTTCGCGGTCATGCGATTTGTCATGAGCAGGAAGCAAATATCTGAAATAGGGTGTTAATTTGAATTTTAGGCTTTTCCCGCCTTAAAATTTCAAAATTCGAATTTTGAATGCTAAGGAATTCTTCACATGTCGAATACCAGCCGCTGCAACGGTTAGCTGTCAACCCGTCCTTTCGCCTGCTCCCGTATCATCATTGCGCCGCCTGACGCGGCGCGATCTCAAGAAGCCACATCGCCTATTTCGGCTTCCCTCCTCCTGTATAAGGACCTCCAACCTCCTTCACTTCTCACTTTTCGCACCTTGAGTTCCTGAACTTTCACCGGTCAAGTTTCTTTCTTTCGCCTTCCAGCCCTCCGAGTCAAGTAAGCTTCCCTCCTTTTCTTTAATTACTTTCCCGGTCATGTCTTCCTGAGGTAGCGATAGGATTTCATCCTCAGATGACTCCTCATCTGGGGACTCTACCTATTCTTCTTCGACCGGGTACTATTCCTCTGATTCCGTACCTGGTCATGTTCCAAACTCGTCTGTCCCCGAGCCGGAGCCGGTAAACCAAGTGCCCGGTCAGGTATTCGCGGAGAGGGACGAACCGGTTGATAACGAACCGGGTCCCTATGACCCTGACACCGAGTCCTGGGAGGAGTGGGAAGAGCGGCTTCGCACTGCCGGTTACTTCCCACTCCCCACCTATTACGTTCTTGACATTTCCTCCCATGTATCCAAAATCGCCCTTAATAAGGTTCGTAGAAGGCTCCCGGATGGGTACATCCTTCAGTACGAACATGACTGGCCAAATATAGTGGAACCCCACCGGGAGAATAGGATAGGTTTCCACGTTGTCTCTCTGGATGGGGGCATCGTTTTTCCCCTTCGTCCCCTCCTAACCGAAGTCTGTCATGCGTTTAGGATTTTGCCCGGTCAGTTAACTCCTAACGCCCACCGCTACTTGCACTCCTTTGTAAATATTTGTTCCCACCTCAAAATCGAGCCTTCCTTGCGTCTTTTCCTTTTTGTTTTGAAGTCCTACCGGGTGGGACCGGTTGTGAAGGCTTTGTGTACTTCAAAGGTCGCACCGGTAGGAAATTTATTTCCGACGTCCCCCAAAGTAACCAGGGATGGAAGGAAAAATTTGTTTTTATTCAATTCCCCCCATTCGTCACACCCTTCGCCGGTCTAAAATGGAACGACCATCTCCTCGATCATGAGTATACCGTGCCAGCCTCCTCCCCTGACCTTGAAGCAAACCTGGAAATCCTCCTCCGTGGTGATCCGTTTACCGGGAGAAAATTTCACTACGGGAGTTGGGTGTGGAGGATCCAACCGGGAGGTGAGGGTACCTCCCAGGCCCATGAAGCAGCGGGGCACGGGGTACCCTCCCCGGGCAACACTGGAGAGGTTGAGGGCCAAAACCACCCAGGTATTTCTCATCCATCTTGTGATTTTTGGTTTGACCGGTGTGGTTTCCCATACTTGTTGGAACACACTTTGTACGTTTAACTAAAGTCGTGTTCATTTCTGATAGGTTTTGATAATTGCCAAACCGCCGTGGATATGAAGAGTTTCGTTGAATAACTCAAGGCGTGAAGAAAGGCTTGAGTTTCGTTGAATAACTCAAGGACAAGATCAAGAATCGAAGACGTAGTCGAGTCGGTCTTTTGTGATAAAAACCGACAATCAATTCAAGTCTCGGTTTTCAAAGACTCAAAATAATTTTACAAAATCATAAAATGTTTTTTTGTGGTTCTTGGTCCTTGCTCAGAACCAAAACCCTGGTCCTTGCTCAGAACCAAAACCACCAAGGTCCTTGCTCAGAACCAAAACCACCAAGGTCGGTGTTTGGCATCGGCGTACGGCATTCGGGGTTCGGCACGCGGTTTTTGGTGCTCGAACCAACTCGGTGGTTTTCAATGTTTTAAACCTCCTTTTTAACTCTGAGCATATTTAAAAGGTTCCCAAATGATTATTTTATAAAAACCACTTTATATCTTGGTCAATCGGTCCAACACGTGAAAAACGGTCAAAACCGTACGCACGTGATTTACGACCTTGAAAACTTGGTTTTTACCAAACAAGTTTTGTTTTCACTATTTTATACCATATACAATGGTTTTCAAACCTAGTTTTTACTTTTGGGAACACTTCGTTTTTGGGCCTCGATTTTTCCAAACGGGTTTCAGCTGGCTAGACTTTAGCTGGGTGATAATCGATTATCACCTTAGTGACAATCGACTATCAGCCTCTGCAGCTTTTGCACTTAAAGTTCTGAAGCCCGCAATAACCGATTGTCACTTTTGCAACAATCGATTATCATAGTCTGCAGCCAAAACCCAGGAACTTCTGAGAGGACCAATAGTCGATTATCACTTGTTGACAATCGATTATCTGGGTTACCGTTGTCCTCCAACGGATAGAATTTTAAATTTTTGGATAGAGAATCTTTGGATAATCGATTATCAAGCTTTGACAATCGACTATCACCCTGTGTCTCTGAAAAATTTGTCTTCATCCTGTTGGAAATTTTAGCAACGCGTTTATCCCATTTTGGGCTATAAAATGGCACCCAAATCCTCACATTTTACACAGAATTCTTCAACATTTCAATACTCCTTCATTGCATAAGAATTCCTATTTTTTCTTAGCTATTTGAGAGCCAATTCTTGAAGAAATTATCGTGTTCTTGAGCATTTACTAGTTCACTCATATCTACTCTTTGTGAGAGTTTTATTCCTGAGTGTTTAAGTGTTTCTACACACTTTAAGGGAGGTTGTTCCCTTGTTGTAAACTCGAAGGAAGTCTTTCGTTCCTCTGTGAGAAGTCTTGGAGTGTGGTATCTCTGAGCAAAGGCGTTGAGGCTCGTGTGACTCGAGTTCTCAAGTTGTATCAGTTTGTTGAGCACCTTTAAGCTTAACGAAGTTAGTGTAAGTTGATAGAGTCTCTCGAAAGGCTGGATTAGCCACATGTTGTGGTGAACCAGGGTAAAATTTGGTGTGCTCCTTCCTTACGCTCTTTACTTTTTCGCTCTCGTTTTTAATTTCCTGCGATTTTGCTTTAAACGCTATTCACCCCCCCCTCTAGCGTTGGGCCTTTATTCTAATAATACTTAGTGATTTCAGCAATTCCTTGCAGATATGGAGTTCCAGGAGTTTGACATTCCTGATGACCAGCCAGCGGGGGAGACCGATGGCTCCCAAGATCCTCCCTCCAAAACATTCCCGGTCAATCAAGAGACCGTGGAAATTTTAGATGAGGATGAGCCTCAAGACATCCGGTTTAAGGGCAAAGAGAAGACCGGCCGCCGGACCAAGAAGGCGGCCACCAACCATCCTTCTGCCATGAACAAGAGGCAGAAGACAGACTTTGGTGTGGCCCACCAGACCGTGGAGGAGGCCTACATCAACCTCGGTCTGCGCCTGAGGGAGGCAAGTCTTATCCCTCGCCCGGTTTATCTCTATCTTATATATTGCATCACGATTGACCGGCTTGTTGTATGTTGCGCAGGTTGGGGAAATCGGGCCTATCACCACCGACCGGTTGGGAATGGATTCTCCAACCGAAGTGGCCCAGCTGAAGAAGAAGAATGAGGAGATGGCCCTCATTCTTAAAAGCCAATTGGATGAGCTGGCGAGGTTGTCCAAGATGGCCGGGTCAATGAAGACGGAGATTTCCCAACTGAAGGAGGAGAACTGCCGTTTACTGGATGAGATCTCTGGGGTGAAGAAGGAGATGGCCCAGAAGGAAGAAGACTTCCTCGGTCTTGCAGGCGCCTGGGTTGAAGAAAACAAGGCCGAAGCCGCCCGGGTGATGACGGCGGGCCCGGAAGCAACCATGGAATCCTTCAGGCTTCTATACCAGGAGCCTGAAGGAAAGAAGTTGATTACCGCCATTGGGTCTTTGGATTCAAGTGTGGTCAGAAGAAAGACCGGGCTGCCTCTCACCGGATCATGAAGAAAAGGGACCCAGACTTTAGTGCAGCTGCTTACGGCTTGGCCCCAATTCCGGAGGAAGAGCCTACTCCCCCCTTCCCTCTAGATTAGGATCTCCCCGGTACCGACTGGTTGTTTTGTAAACTTGAAACTTTCTCAATTTCCCTGGGTATGCCCGGTATATCTGTAAACATTTAACATTCCTATCTCATTTGAATTCCATGTTTATTTTGCTACCCGGTCATAGTTTTGAATGCTTTTTGTTTGATATCCACTTTTTTGAATGCTTTTTGGCCCGGTCATAGCAACCATTTCTCTGAATCTTGAATCTAATTAACTTCTGCCGGTAGAACTTCAACGTTTGCTATTGGATATCTCCCTTTTGATCAATTCGAGTAACTTCAGTTTAACCGGTAAGTCCCCTTCTCATGGTCTGACCGGTTAACTAAGTTGCCTTGACGAACTTTCGAAGTCCTGCTATATTAATACCCAACCGGGGAATTCCTTTTTTTACCGGTAGGTTGTAGATGGAAGCACCTGTAACCTAATAATTTCTTGAAGTATCCTTAACCGGTAAGAATACTAGAGATTTAACCATGTCGAATGGTTTCGAACCCTCTCTAAGGTTCAAATGCACCCGTCTTCCAGGGCCCCCTCTTCCGGGTGTTTAAGTCTTTTAATGGCCCTTTGATATCTACTATCCCGGGAAGGCCTTAGCTCACCCCCCGTTCAAGTCTTCCCTAAGAAGGGGGAATCTGAACTGGTCGGAGTAGGATGCGTCATGGTGAACGATCCCTTTCTATTTCTTTTAATGGGCATCTTTTAGTCCTCAATCAGTTTGACAGTTTCGGCTGATTCCCCGACACCGGTCAAACCTCATGGGCCCGTGTATGTACGGTTCGAACCTTCTTCCAGGTCCAGCCTTCTTGCAGGCATACCCCTCTTCCGGGTCTATATTTTTTTTATTTTATACTGAGCAAGACCGGTGTAGTAACCAGCGTGCTAGGTCTGGGCCTGTGTCTCAGTTGGCTGATCCAAGTGGATTCGATCCACCCGGGAAGCCCTCCTAGGATAGGTTCGACCAATCGCTTCCTCTGCTACTAGGTAGAGTATTGAACTTCATCAATTCGATTGATAATAGAATTAGGCCTTGCCTAGTATTACAATCATTTGTAGAATTTTCTCAGATGGTGAGAATTCCATGTTCTTTCTACCGGTATTCCATCTAGAGTTTCTAACCGGTAGGTTCCCGGGTGAATAATAGCTCTCACCCGGTAAGGTCCTTCCTAATTTTTCGACAGCTTTCCTCCATATCCCGGCTTACTAGCCTCTCTTCTTCGCAAGACTTCATGACCAACTTGGAAGTATCGCGGCCCAACCTTGTTGTCGTGGTACTTCTTCACAACTTGTTGGTACGTACTCATTTTTACTTCCGCAGCCATCCTTCGTTCCTCGACCAAGTTGAGTTCGGCTAAATGGTCTTCTTCGTTTTGCTGGGGTTGATAATTTGATTCCCGGAATGTTGGGAACTCGGCTTCGATGGGTAGCCTTGCTTCACATCCGTAAGTCAAGGAGAAAGTAGTTTCCCCATGAGCACTCCTAGGTGTCACCCGAAATGCCCATATGATATGTGGGAGTTCTTCCAACCACTTATTTCCTGCTTCCCGCAGACGTTTCTTCAAACCATCCACAATCGTTCAGTTGGCGTTTTCAACTTAGCCATTGCCTTGGGGGTATGCCACCGAAGAGCGATTGTGTTTTATTCCAAAGCCCTCCAAGTATTCAGTAAACCTTGGATTTTTGAATTGCGGGCGGTTGTCGGTGATGAGATTCATGGGAGCTCCGAATCTCATGATGATGTTCTTCCAAATGAACTTCTTGCACTGTTGCGTGGTGATGTTGGCCAACGCTTCGACTTCGATCCATTTGGTGAAGTAAAAATTTCTTCCTTCCTTGAGCAATTGGGAATGCTCTAATGATATCAACCCCGAATCTAGCAAATGGGATGACATTCGATACGGGGTGATAATAGGTTGTTGGTCTACCAGGGTATTTGTAGAACACTTGGCACGTTCGGCATTTTTGAACGTACCTTTCACAATCCTGGACAATCGTTGGCCAGTAATACCCCAACAAAATGATGCGCTAGGAGAGGGTACGGGACATTTGATGTGCCGCGCATACACCTTCATGGACTTCTGCTATGACTCGCTCCGCCTCCCGGTTGGTCAGGCATCTCAGGAGTGGTCCCCCGAATGCCCTTTTGTACAGCATTCCTTCAATGATTTGGAACCGGGGTGCCCTGAGCTTCACTTTTCTTGCCCGGTCATCTTGGTCTGGCAGGCTTCCATCCGTCTAATATTTCATAAGGTCGCTCATCCAATGGTCATCTGCCCCGACCGTGTTTGACCGGTGAGATTGGCCTGCTGCTGCTATAGTGGCGACTTCCAGTTTCTCTATGCTGGAATGATCAAGGATCTCCACCCGGGCAAGTTTTGAAACATGCTCAGGGCATACCGCGTCAGTTTGGAGAGAAGTTCTACATCCACGTTTTCCGCCCGGGGAATTTGGGCGATCTTGAATTCCTCGAAGCCCTTCAACAAGGCAAGCACTAGGTCCTTGTTTTATTGTGACATTCGTCCTTCCCTTGCTTCTATATTACCGGTCACCTGCCCAACAATCAGGCTAGAGTCAGATTTGATACTAACCCTGCTGATTTTGAGAGCTTGAGCGAGTCTGAGCCCTCCAGCTAGAGCTTCATATTCCGCCTCGTTATTTGTTAATTTGAAGTTGAAGACGAGTGCATTGTAGATCTTGAAGCCTTCTGGGGTGGTAAACAATATTCCACCATGTACCCTTTAGGACCAGATGCTCCATCTACTGCCATCTCCCACCATTGTTCAGTGAGCTTGTTGACCGGTAGGTCTGGAGTTAGACCGGTCATTTCTACCAGAAAATCTGCAAGGGCTTGTCCCTTGATTGCTGATCTTGTTCGGTACTCAATGTTGAATTGAGTTAACATCATTGCCCCCTTCACCATCCTCCCAGAGGATGTTGAATTTCGTAATACTGCTCCCAACGGTTGGTCAGTCAAGACTTCCACCGGGTGAGCTTGGAAGTAGGATGTTAACTTTTTTGCAGAGATGAAAAGTGCGTAGGCTGTTTTTTCTATCGTCGTATATCTACTTTCTGCTCCGTTTAGTGCTTTGCTCACATAATAAATGGGCTTTTGTGCCCCATCATCTCTTATTAAAATGGAGCTTACAGCATTTGGGGAAATTCCTAGGTACAGATACAAAGTTTCACCTTGTTCAGGTTTTGACAATACAATATCTTACACTAGGTACTCCTTCAGCTCCTCAAATGCCTTCTGGCAGTCTTCGTCCCATGCAAACGTGTTGGCCTTCTTCAGGACATTGAAGAAGGGCAGGGATCTCTCAGCTGACCGGGAAAGAAACCAGCTGAGGGCTGCCAGACAGCCAGTCAACTTTTGAACATCCCTAACAGAGGTAGGGGCCTGCATTTTGGTGATAGCCCGGATTTTTTCTTGGTTGGGCTCTATTCCTCTCTTGGTAGCCATGAATCCCAAGAACTTCCTGGTGCGAACCGTGAAGACGCATTTCTTAGGATTCAACCGGAGGTTGTATCTTGACATGATATCAAATTTTGCACGCATGTCAGTCGGGTGGTTGAGAGATACCTGGCTAGGTACCTCTTCTTCTAGCGTACCGGTCAACTTCCATCCCTTACTGCCAGCCGGTGGCAGATGATTGAGCGGTCAATCCCAGGCTTATCCGCCACGCTCCATGCAAATATGCCTAAGTACTCTTGGAGGACCCGTGTAATCTCCGCCCTGAGATCTTCTGGGAGATTTGCTCCAATCCTGACCATCCTCGAAGAATCACCCGAGCGGAGCTCGATTTCCACCGTTTTAGCTTCAGGTTCCATTTTCTCCCGGGTCTCTCCCTTTGTGATTTCTTGGGAGATGACGTTTACCCCCTTAGTCATCTTCTTGACTGCTCGGGCATAGCATTCTCGGGCGTTCCTCTGGTCGCCTTTCACCTCTTCCACACCACCTCGGGTGTGGAATTTCATGCACATGTGAGGCATAGAAATCACCGCCTAGACTTTGTTGATGCCCGGTCTTCCAAGGATTGCGTTATGGACGCACTTGATGTCCACAACGATGAACCGCATCTTCTTCCACACGGTTTTGTCCCCCGACTCGAGTTCGACCGGTAGGACTATGGGTCCTTCTGCTTCCACGGTGTCTCCCGTGAAGCCTAAGAGAGGAGTCTTGAGGGGCTCGAGTTGTGTCCGACACAACCTGAGTTTTTGGAAAGTCTCCAAGTACAGAATGTTGACACTGCTGCCGGTGTCAACTAGTACCCGGGCAACATCCACCCCGTTAATGTCCATGGTGATAACCAAAGGATCATTATGATCTTCACCGGTAGCTGGAAGGTCCCGGTCGGTGGAGACGATCGGTTCCCTTCTCGTTTGCTTTCGTCTGACCGGGTCAGCACTTACTTCTCCAACGTAAATGCTGCAGACCCAGTTCTTTCGTTGCGCGGCTGAATCTCCACCTTCAGGTCCGCCAAATATCATTCCAATGTGTTCTTTATCAGGATCGGGCTGCTACTCCCTTTGCTGGTTGTTTCTCCGCTGGTCATTGTCCCGGTCATTCCCCTGGGCTGCTGGCCTGATCCACTGGTGGCTCTTCTCTTAGGCTTTTTGCATATAGTCTTCGCCCAGTTCTCCGCTGTCTATCATTTTCCGGATGACTCCCTTAACACTCTTGCACTCGGAAGTGTTATGGGAATCTGACCTATGGAACGAACAATACGTGCCCGACCATTGTCGTCCTGGTTGACCGGTAGGATTTTCTGGAGGATTGACCGGTGCTTTCCTTACCTCCTGGAACTCTTCTGTATTGACCACGCAGACAACCGTGTCATAGTGATGCCTTGGCCGGATAGATCCCGGTGCCTCTTCCTTCTTTATTTGCACAGGATTTGGCTTGAAGCCATGCTCAGCTTCTTTCTTTGCCCGGAGCTGGGTCTCTGCCTCCGCGAATTCCCATGCCGTATGGTAGGCTTCCTAATACGTAGCCGGGGGTTTCCGGCAGAACTCCTTGCATAGTCCCCCAGCACGTAAGCTATTCAGAAGGAGGGACAAGACCGTCTTGTCGTCCATCTCTTCTACCTTGTCTACCTCTTCCTTCCACCGGGTAAGGAACTGAGTGAAGTTCTCAGATTCCCTCTGCTCGGTTGTACTAAGATTGGTGAATTTGTTCCTCTTAGTACAATTTTCCTGGAACTTGGCCTTGAATTTTGAGGCCAAATTGCTGAATGAATCAATACTTCCTGGGCGAAGCTTGTTGAACCATTCACTAGCTCGATTCTGCAAGGTTTGGAAGAAAAGGAGGCACTTTTCTTCGTCTGTGCAACCGTTCATGGTTGCACTCTGGTTGAAGTAATCCAGTTGGATCTCTGGGTCTTCCTTCCCGGTGAACCTCGGGGTGTCTATCTTGACCTTACGTGGGAAACGTGTCAGATGGACCCTTGTTGTGAATGGGGACCCGGCGAGGGGTTTATCCCGGTCATTCTTCTCCCCCGCTTTCTTCTCCAACCTCTCTAGTTTCGCCTCCATCTGTTGGACGCGATCATTCGGGATGGTTAGCCGGTTAGCCACCGGCCCACGGGGTTGGCTTTCTGCTTCTTCTTCCTGGCGTGAAGCCCTTGTTCTTGGAGGCTCTTAACGGTTCGACCGGGAGCGCTAGGAATTGGCAGGCTCGGCCTCCCTTCCCTCGCCTAACCAGGCGAACGCGCTAACATGGGCAACGCTCTACCCCAATCTTAACTTGGCTGACTTCCTCTGACCTTCTTCCCTGTCCCCCAACCTTTTGAAGGCGGAGTTCCGGGAAGTTGCCGGCCTGAGGGCCTTTCCCTTCTTCCTTTTGTGGGCTCTAGGGACGTCCCACTCTTCATCACCACTCTCCACAGAGATGCAATGACCCTCTGGAGTTGTCTGGGGATGGGAGTTTTGTGGAGGGCGTGACGGACCGGTGGCGTTAAGTGCACCAGTCAAATTGACGGGGGCCACAGCGCTAACCAACTGCGGCTGGAAAGGCGATGGCTGTGGTACCGGCGTCTAGAAGGGAGACGCCGCCATCGGAGTTTGCAGAGGCATTGTTCTAGCGCCTGGGAGGGCAAATGGAAACATGCGTGTGAGGAATGGCATCCCCCCATTCTGATGACACATGGCCATGACCTGGCCAAAGCCTTGGATGACCTGTAGATTGGCTGGGTCATTCATGAACCGGGTCATGCTTGGTGGGAACGTGACCCTCGGTCCAGCAGAAGGGACAAGGATCGTGAATGGGCTGACCACGCTGGGTGTTGGGATTGAACTCAGACCCAACGGCAACACGGGAGCAGAAACAGCCGGTTGGGTCGCAACCATGGGGATGTTGACCCCCTCAGTGGTGGCTTGCACCTGAGCATAGGTAGCGTGGATTTGCTGGCTTGAAGACATTTTTAGTGGTGTTTTTGTGGGTAGGTTTGTGTTTATATGAAAAGAAACCTTAACGGTCCCACGGGTGGCGTCAAAAATGATGGTGTAAATTACCTACGTGGAGGCACGTTCTCGGATGGTGGGAGGTGATGGCCTTCGTCCTTTAGCCGCCTTGTCGCCTAGTGAGGAAGCTTACTCCCTTCGTCATGTAACACCTTGGATAGATTCCTTTGTTCAAGTATCTCCAGCAATCCTCCAATAATCTCGGTCGCTACGGTCCAATCTCTTTTGGATTCTTCTCTGCCGACACTTTCCAACCATGGAAACCATACTGGGTAATTTCTAAGGGATAAGTTTATCGAAAGTAGGGGCTGAACCACGCGATAAAGTAGTTTGACCGGTATACTATCGTTAAGTGTACCGGTCAAAGGTTTGGTCAACCGAGCTTCCTTTTAATGACGATTAAGGCTTCCCTTTCCAGTTCGATCCACTTGAGCGGTCAACTATTTAGTCCTCCCTTTTGACCAGTCCTAGGTGGAATACACCCATCAATTACCAAGCCTAAAAATTAAAAATATTAATTAAGTGAAGATTATTAGCTTCTTCAGTTGTTTTCTTTCTTTCAATAGGCATCGACTAATCATTTCTTAGTGCTTAGATTTCTTATATTCTATGATTCATGGAAATTTTCTAGACTTAGCAAACTTTTAAAAAGATTAATGATAGACTTGAAGAGGTTGATGTGAACTTATAGAACGAATTTTTTATAGAGAGTAATTAAGTAGTTCAAATAAATAATATGGAGAAGAATAAACATACCACGACACAGAGCCAATAAACCCAAAACTATCTATGTAACCCCTGAAAATAGGCTTATCAGAATTAATTAATTAATTAATTAATTAATTAATAATTAATTTATTACTGAAAAAGACCCAAAAATAAGTTATTTATAAAGTTTGTCAATAAATAATAAAAATCTTATCGTTATGTAGAGTTTGACTGTTTGACTGCAACGGTTCAATCGAATTTCGATTCGGAAAAAGTTGGACTAAAAAGTATACCCCGACTGGGACTGAAGTTAGTCCCAATCAGGAACTTGCGTTTGAAATCCAAAACTATTGCCGTTCACTCCACTCAACTGCACAAAGAGGAAATGGAGACTTGGCAGCATCCTCTCCTTCTCCATTATATAAGCACACCACAACTCCATCCAATTACTTCACCAAATCGTCCTATTCTTCTCCCTATTTTATTGCTCTAAGTGTGGGGAGTATTGTGGTGCTGTCAATTTGGTGTAAAGTCGCCAAAACTAGTCACAAATCTCGCCGAAAAAGTCTCAAAACCTTCGTTGGTATAGATCTTTTCTACATTCATAAACGGTCTTTTGGTTAAGTTTTGTATTTGACATGCTTGAAGAATGATGAACCATAAACCTTGAAATTGATGTTAAAACTATGAACTAATGATACCAAAATGCTTTATGAACCTTGGAGAACATTTCTATATAGTTTAATTGAAGATTGGTGACTAAAAAAGACATTACTGAAAATTGGCCCGAGGTTGAAGATGACACTGTTCAAAACTACGCGTACAGCGATATCCAACTACCGTCTGAACGATACATTGGTACCGCTGGCACGGTAGGTCGTACCGTTGGGACAGTAGGCTAGCTACCGTCTCCACCGCAGAAAATAGTTCCCTCTGGCGGTACCTGATGCCAAACGGTACCCCCTACTGTTTGGGCGGTACGTCGGTACCGAGGTACCGCTAAGGGTACCGTCTTACCCGAAAAGTTTTCAGAAACTTGATTTTTGAACTATTAAATCCTATTTTTGATACCAATCAATTATAGTCAATATTAATATGATTTCTGAAAATAAATATTATGTTTTGACAAATCCAAACACCTTATATGATGCACATGACGGTAAGCTTGAGTGTTAACACTCGACGCTAAGCCGCTAATTATGGTTGTATATTATGATGATGATTATTATTATTATGGATGATTATGATGAATTCATGATTAAATATTTATGAACCTCTTGATTAATATGATTATTGTGAATGATTGAACCATGATTTAGAATGAATACATTGATGAGTATGAAATGATTGTATTGTAAAGGATATCTAGAAGAACTCTAAGATATATATGCATGTTGACATTGGTTTCTAATACTATCTAGAAGACATCTAAGATAGATTAGAAATAGGCCTTGCGGGTATAACTATGAATATTCGGTGGCTGGGGTAAAAACGTACTTACGGGATCTGTAAACCAAACTAGAGGATCACTCCTTTGGGGATACCACCAAACCTGAGAGTGAGTATTCTGCTGTTTGATTATTGTGTACCTTAAGTTAAGACTAGTTTAAGAGTTGGGAAATCTTTTGAAAACTCGTACCCTAAACTAGATTAGCTTAAGAGTTGGATAAAAGTACCTTAAACTAGAATTAGTATAAGAGTTGGTAAACTTTAAGGTAGTGTTTCGAAACTAGCATTTCATTTCAATTCATGCATTTCAATTCCAAAATTTGAAATCCTGAATTTCAAATGACAAGGTGAGGTGCATGAATTTCAAATTAAACTTTGTTATGAAGGAAAAGAATTTTACTCAAATCCAAGTTCAAAATATTTAAGTTTCCCAAACATGGAATTTGAGCCAAGTACGGATTTGAAATCCAAATCCATGTTCCCAAGCATACCATAAAGGAATTGGCCTTAGACTAAGAATAGTTTAAGGATATTGTTGAAAAATGTTGAGAATGAATATGAGTGTTGAATATTGATTATTGAATGATTGAAATAAATGTTTTGTGCATGATATAAAATGAGTTGATTATGAATTTAGATTCAGTTTATATGGATGTTCGATGCATTAGTTATGCTTACTCAATTTTACCGCTGAGCATGTAGTATGTTTTATTTGCTACACGCAGGTAAACAAAAAAATGAAGTGACTGTTCCTGGCAGTAGACGGGGCGAGATGGTCGAGGTGGGTGTGTGAAACGAATTAATGTTTAAAAGAGAAAGAAATTTATTATGTTTGTAATTGTTATTTATTAAGCTTCTACAACTTTAAATTACTCCGTTATTATTCCGAATAATTTATTATGAAATAAAATTTTAAAATGTTTGAAATATTTTGAATGTTTATGAATACCAAGTTTATACTTTATTCCGAAAGGGGCTGCAAACCTGGACGGATTAGGGTGTTACAATCTACATCCCCCTCGAGAACCAATATTTAATTCACGGGTATGAGTATGGAAACTCAGAGTATCCTTTTTGGTGGAAGCAAAAACTGCATTATCAAATCAAGTTTGAAGGGAGATATGGAGGCAGCTTTAGAGTCATTGAAGTGAGGGGACAGAATTCCTCTAATGATGTTCTCTGAAATATGCAAAGAAACTCCACCATAAGAAGGGGTTAAAATCGGGGTTTGCAGCTTCCTGATGCATCACAAATCTAAATATGAGTAGCATATCATGAACCTCAAATTTCAATATTTGTAAGGTGGAGACATCAGATATATATCAATATGAACTCTCTTCTAAAGCTAATAGATATACTAAGAGCACGACCTTGAGAGGAAGCTCATCACATATTTTAACAAAAACCAACCCACAAATGTAACTTTTAATGCTAAAACAACAACAAAAAATTGAGCCTCATCTCAAGCTCATCACAGATTACAATTTTGTATGCTAAAACATAGTAGTGTTTTGTATATAAAATATGCATGATAGGTGAATTTGATGGAAACTTGGTGAAGTTATCCAATCCACAAATAACTAATGCATACCTAGACTTATGAAAGTGTATCAGACTATCACCATGTGTAAACTTGTGTCCATACTTTTGTATGCCAAACTAGAGATGTCAATTTTCATCTTTAACATTGCTAGGTCCATGATTCCCACTCTACCTAGTAATGTGTTAGAAAAACGACCCAGCGCTAGAGAGGGGGTGATAGCGTTTGAAACGAAAGTAACGCAGGAATAAAGAATTTAAAAACGTAAAGTAGAAGAGCAAGGAGAACGCACACCGTTTTTACCCTGGTTCACCACAACGTGTGGCTAGTCCAGCCTCCTGAGAGACTCTCTCGAGCTACACTATCAACGTTAAGCTTAACGGTGCTTAACAAACCCGTACAACTTGAGAGTTCGAGTCACACAAACCTCAACAAACCTTCGAAGGAAACAACCCTTCCTTCGAACTACTCAAGAGAAAAGCTTTCTCTTATCAAGTTTCTAAAACACTAAATCACTCAAGAACAATACTCTCTTTTAGAGTGGATATTGAGTAACTAAAAACACTTAAGAACACAACACGAATTTCACAAAAATGGCTCTCGAAAAGCTATGAAAAATGTATGAATGTAATGCAATGAATAATAGGAGTTGTGAAGTAATTTGTTGTGAAAAGCAGACCAAAACACCTCATTTTATAGTAGAAAAATAGGCTCCAACGGGTAGGAGTTGAATGGGGGTGATTGGCATAATTTGTGGGATTTCACCAGAACAGCGATGTCCATTACTTGGACATCGCTGTTGTAGGCTTGGTGTTAGAAACTTGGGAAGCAACGGTCAAGCCAATAGCGATGTCCAAAAGGCCAACATTGTTGTTTTGGCTGTTGACTTCCAAACATGGAAAGTCTTAGCCATAAATTCCTTCCAATGATCAGGTGCCTACATCGATGTTCATTACTTGAACATCGCTGTTCAGGCCTGACTTTGAAGAATGAAAGGTGGCCTGACATCGCTATTGCTGGGTCAACAGCGGTGTCCAAAAACTTTCTTCCTAAGGCATTTTTTTGGCTTAGGTTGAACATAGATGTAGAGATTGATGTCTACATCGCTGTTCTAGATGTTTCTGGAATTTCAACCTTGGCTCAACAGCGATGTCCATTGACCAACATCGCTATTGGAAGACTTAACGCCAACGCCAGACAGCGCTTTTGGTTACTCCAACATCGCTGTTGGGCTGGTTTAGCCAGACCCATGGCTAGTTAGTCATGCCGTAAGCCGATGTCAACAATCAAAGTTCTCCAAATTAAAAACCAAGTATTGAAAACATTTGTTTAATGTATTTTGCTATGAAATCAAGCGAGACATCTTAAAAACCTGTAACACCCCAACCCGCATGACCCAAACCCGTGAGACAGCGGACCGGTGTGTCACTGAATTGGTATCCGAATTTGCGACATTTTCAAAACAATTTTAAACAAACGTTCTATCAATACATATAAAAATTCATCGGAGTAATTTAAAATAATGCGGAAGCCTTTTTAAAGTCAAACAACTTGGGATCTTGCCCGAAAACGTAATAAGCATTAAAGTTAATTAAATAAAGCATATCAGCAGATTAAAGAGACAGCCACGCCATCATACATCTCCTCCTCAATGCCTTCTGGGATCGGCTCTAGGTTCATCTGTCTGATCACCTACGGATAGCAAAAAGGAAAACAACGCTATCCGCTCAGCATTGACGCTGAGTGGTACTCCATTGTAGCACAAGAATAAACATAATAATTCAACAATTAAGATCGTGCATATGTTTATCCTTTTAATAAAAATCAATTCAACTTTACATTCGGTTCTTTAGACGGTTGACCAACAGTCAACTTATTTTCTTTCTTTTCAAAACGATTT